ATGAACTGACCAGCTATATATCTATGTGTGTGGATGTATGCATATATCGTGCGGTCTTTTATATACATATATGTATGTATATACAGACATACGTATATATTATTTGCGTTTAGCATTCTAGAGCTGAGCTCATAGACAACAATGCCGTTAATTAATTTTGAAGCATAATCATTTTGAGTGGGTGTTGAGTATTAAAAAACTCTAATGTCAACATGACAGCCTACGTTGGAGCCGCACTCGATAACGGGGAAGCCTACGCTGTCTATTTCACTGTCTGCCATAAATATACGCACACACATATACAAATAAACATACATTTGAAAAAAGTGATTACCCGCGACTTAAAGGTGGTAAATACAATTGAGCGATGGGCCTTAACTTGGGAGTTGAAGTTTTGGTAGCGGTTTGGCTGCCATGCATACACACACACATACATATAGACATATAGTATTTACCCACGCAAGTAGCTATATGTTGATCTCATTTATTTACTTGTTTTATTGATTTATTTCATTTCATTTATTTATTTTCTTTTTTCATGACCAAAAATTTCGATTTCATTGCTTGAAAGTGAAAAAGTCACGTATTTCAAAATTCAATAAAATTAAGAAGAAACATTAAGCAAAGCTAAAATACAATTCACATATATAAAGGTTTCTTATAAGAACTTGGTTTTGATCGTTCAGTTTATATGGCAGCTATATGCTATAGTGGTCCGATCTGAACAATTTCTTTAGAGATTGTAGATACCGCTTAGTCAAGTGCAAAGTTTATGAAGATATGGCGTCAATTAAAAAAGTTTTCCATGTAAAAACTTGATTTTGATCGTTCAGTTTATATGGCAGCTATATGCTATAGTAGTCCGATATCGGCGGTTCCGACAAATGAGCAGCTTCTTTGTGAGAAGAGGACGTTTGCAAAATTTCAGATTGATATCTAAAACTCAGGGACTAGTTCGCGTATATAAAGGGTCATCCATTTTGAGGTTTCTTCCATTTTTAAAGAAAAGCCACAAAAACTTCAAATTTAATGGAAAATGTTTATTATCATTCCAAAGAACATTCTTTGGCATTTATTTTTTGAATATTATCTCTTTCAAATGTTGGCTGTGTCTACGTCTCAGATGGTCCATCCTTTCAGTCCAATCTTTGATGATTCTTTCGAGCATTTCGACTGGTAACTGGCGAATGACTCGCTTCAAGGCCTGAATCGAATGAGGATTATCCGCATAGACTTAACATATCCCCACTGGAAAAAGTCTAATGGTGTGATATCCACAATCTTGATGGCCAATCGACCGTCCCAAAACGTAGAATTATCTGCTCCCCGGAGTGTTCTCTCGATAAAACCAGTGATTGATGCGAAGTGGCACCGTTTTGTTGAAAGCAAATGTTTCCGAGTCGTAAATAGTCGGTGATTATGACGCGATATCGTTCTCGTCGGCATTATTTGAATCTCTTCAGCTTACTCTTCGTCCCAAATGCGGCAAATTTGTTTGTTTACATTACCCATTAAGCCAGAAATAGATCTCATCGTTGACTAAAATTTGGTTCGAAAATGTCAGATCCTCTTGGAACTTTTCAGGAGTCCATAAAGCAAAGCGATGTCGCTTGGGAATGTCGAGCGGTTTCAGTCCTTGGCACAAGCTTTTTTTGTACGCTTTCAATTTAAGATCTCGACGTAAATTGTGCCAAGTCGTTCCAGACGTCAGTTGTTGCAAACGGTGGCGAATCGACTCTCCACGGTCTGCGTATACACTCGCAGCTACGGCTCCTATATTTTCTTCGGTGTTGCGATTAACAAGCTCAGTAGGCCGATTATGCGGACCATAAGTTAAGCGAAGCGCGCGAAACATATTCTTTACAGAACCTGAATTTTCGTAATAAAGTTGAACGATTTGCAAATGTTGTTCAGGCGTAAATCTGATCATAATGAAATGCCAAACAATACAATTCCTTCGAAGTTTGTTCAGGATATAATAAATTTGGTAATATTTGTGTCAAATTCTGCAACAAAACGAAAAATAACACTCCAAATTCCTTCTTCGCTGCATTCTGCAACGGAATTGTTGATAAAAATATTCCGGCCAAAACGAATCAATACACCGAATACCATTTCTAATGCATAATCTTACACTACAATGCATTTATTTTCTCTAAACGTATGTATGTACATACTATACACATGTGTATATACATATACTTAGTATATAAAATTGTATGTAGCATGTACAGATATGTCCACATTCAAGTACAATTGCAACATATTTGCCCTGCATTCCGATAAAGCAACAAATTCACATCGGAAAACAAACGTCTGCACACTCAAGGCAGCACAAATTGAACTTCATTTGGCATCATGCTTGAAATAAATTAAACAATTTATTCCAAAAGTCGGCTACCGCACACAATTTTACTCATAAATATTTATCTACAAACCCACTAGACTCTCTGGTGTGCCACAGGCGAGAGATATGCAAATGAATGCACATACATACATACATATTTATATCTGCAAACATAAATTTATTACTACTTGTATATACTCCTTTTCGAGGCATATCTAAGCTTTGTCACAACAACAATAGTATTTATTTGCATTATTTTCTTAAATAGTGATTCACAGATCAACAACGAAATCCATTCATATTAATTAATTTGTCTCTATTCCCTGAAAAAGATATTCCATTCATATGTTTGCTTTCTTTTATACCGTTATTTATGTATTTGTCAATTAATTAATTACTCAAGCGTTTGTTTTTAATGCTGCTCATGATCCACATATATGTACTCGTACATAGTACGCGATTCCTCACTGTTCTATTAAGGGGTTTCTTCGGGTAAAAAACAGCATTTTTTCAAAAAAAATTTTCTCATATAAAAAATGAAATATTATATTTTATTAGAATTTTTTATTGTTGTTTATTATTACAAACAACTTATTGTTATTACCAAGAAAATCTGAAATTTTTGGAAACAAATATTTAAATCTCTTTCGAGACGATATCTTGTCAAATAAAAAAGTTTTCGCTCGATCGTTGAGTTGACACAACTAACGGTTAAGCAGCTACGGATCTGTTTAACAGCGAAATAACGTAAATAAGATATTTGAGATAGTACTCATCTCAAAAGACAAGGCGGGTTACTCCCTTCGTGAAATTTTGGTCCGTATAAAGTGGTTGGCGCGATAAGGTGCTGCGTCTGCTTAATCCGGACAACAGGCACAATCGTGAGATCCTTTAGAGATATTGCTGTTTTTCTTCCACGTCCACGATGTAAGCAGAGAACTTCTCCTACCAAACCTGTTTCGAAGAAGACAGTACATCCGAAAAGTGATAGCCAAAAAAATGGTTGCTCCATAAGGTACATCGGTATGGTCGAAATAGTGGCATAGACCGTCTTAGTAATCCGAAAGGCTATGCTCATCGTTTTCTGGAATTTCCAAGGCGTATCGGCTATCTGAAAAGGGAAAAAGTTGTCACGATTCTACACTTTTTCAAATTATTGGGACGATTCGTCGTCGAATTACAGAATAAATTTGCCCAAATGATGACCCACGTAGCGACCTATTGTTCCATATATCGTTTTCTCCAAATTTGGCTTGCTGCACTTTCTGTTTGTTTGCAAAACAACTAACTATCAAAGGGTCAGAAGAAAGCTTCAATTCGGTATGCGATAAATATTGGTAAAAACAAGAAAAAACCTTAACTTCGGTAGCACCGAAGCTATAATACCCTTCATAAATACAAAAGTTTCCTTGCGAGATTTTTGATCGGCCAGTTTGTAAGGCAGTTATACGCCATAGGGGCTCGACCTGAAAAATGAATATTTTACCGCTGTTTTGTACAATAAGCCATGTCAAATTAGATGAACATATCTCCTCAAAAGTAAAACGGACTCAGTTCGTCTCGTTGAACATTTATAGTATACCTAGGTTTGAAAATAGAAACTTCTAAAAGAAAAGTACTTCTACTTGGATCACCCGTTATATATTTTATTGGATCTCTGATATTTCCTTTTGGGTGTGTTTTGACAGTAAGACGACTAAGACTACATAGTTACTCAAGTAACTGTAATCGTTGAGGGAAGAAGGTTTTGTACCACCGATAAACGTTGCTTCGGTCCAAGGTAGCTTCTCCGTATGCCACAGTCAACATTCGGAATGCATCCGCGCACTTAATTTCGTTTTTCACACAAAATTTGATACAGGTTCTTTGATAAATTTTTTTGAATAGGTAAAAATCGAAGACGATCCAAAACACGTGCAAGCAAAGCAGCTGTCAACAATTAAATGAACATTCAAAATGGTCGAGCTTGTCGGCATAAGTGAGAGACATCTCTCACAAAAAATTCGAAATTCGATTATACGTAACCCGCGAAAATTCAAAATTCGCGATACTTTTTGAACACACCTCGTATATGTTCAGTGTGCAACGTTAACCACTTTTTTGCATGCCCAGCTAATCCTACTCATGTCACACCCCTTTCTTCATGGTCCGACCTCATCCAAACAGCACGTTTTCTGGGCCTACCGTTGGCTACCCCGATAACAATTTAGGTGTAAACCATTGAAGCAGACGACCTCACAGGTCTAACGAATTCTCTCTTCCGCTCTATAAACGCGATAATCACCAGCATAGCGGACCAATTATTTCTGTACGGTAAAGTGTGCTTTGCAGGGCTTTAACTATATGCTGATTAATTTGCACGAAAGGGAGTTATGAGCACATAGTGATTATTTATGAAGTCATTTCCTTTGCCAACATACGACGCTTAAGTAATTGGCAACTTTAATAATCACACAAAAATTGCTTTATGTTTTGTTGAATATGCTTAATACAGTAATATATACATACATATATATACAAACACATATCTATGGAAACATATGTACATATATGTATGTATATAAGTATATACCGACTTCATTTCAACCCACTTGAATTATGAACATGCGATGACCTAACAACCTCAATTTGCTTTTCTTTCTTGCAATTTCAGATGAATTGTTGGACATTAGCAAAGCATTGGACGGCGTGGAGAGCAGCTTTGTGCGCTCATTTGACAGTGGCATTGAAGTTGACGAAGACTTGTGTTCGGTCAAATCGAGCGATTGCAGCGCGAATGAGTATCCGTTACGCTGCCATCTGGCGAAGTATGAAGGCTACACTTATGTGGTTGCCGAAACGCTTTCACATGATCTCGAACGCTTCCACAGATGTGGCCGATCGCAGGCGTCTACTGCGTCTACTGGAGGCGGTGCTGCTGTTGCTGTTGCCGCCACCACGCCAGCGACTTACAAATGCGGTTTCTGCATATTTGAGTGCAGCGTGCGGCAGGAGTTGAACAAACACTTGCAAATGCATTTGGGTGAGCTGCTGGCGCATTGTTTCGCTTCAATCTGCATAAATGAATGCATTCACTACAATAATATTTGTTTTTGTTTTTTCTCTTTCACTTTGTTCCTCTATATGATCACAGGCCCGCCGCAACACAGCTGCCGCAAGTGCAATTTTGTTGGACACTTCAAGTTTCTACTAGCGCAGCATATGCGTAATGTACATCACTGCGCCTTGGAGGGGCAAGAAGGTAGGTAACACTTTCTAGTCACAGTACACGCAGCGCATTAGCGCGTAATTGCTATAAATAAGTTGTATTGCTTAAATACTAAGACTGTGTGAGCAAACATTTTTATACCCATGGTATTGAGTTGCAAAGGGTAGAATAGTTTTGTGCATCTAGCGATTGTTTCTTACGTCAAGAACTACGTGAGAGAGATATTGGGTTATATATACCAAAGTCAACATCTCATTATAATATATAAGGCTGCAGTGGATTGGATAGTATAATAATCACGCCCAGCTAACTCTATAAAAAGGTTATGTTGATGAATACAAAAGTCAAAAATCAATCAATTAAGGAGCTATATCCACTTCCAAGTTAGAAAAAGTCGCTTTTTGTTATTTTTTTCTAAGATCCCGTAACTGACCTTCGGGAAGAAAACCCGAAACTAAAACTTACCGATCCAAACTCGTCTATTCTCCGAAAGTACAGCTCTTGACTGTATGAACTCCGGGTCAATTCCGACATTCAGTCCATGAGCTTAACATGAGCGATTATTGCCAAAGTACAGAGCCGCTGCAAAATCCTCAAGTCTACAGTCGGCTACACATGAGGAAAAGATAAGGAAACGTTGTTGACAACATACGAGGTAATCGGCCGGTTGGTACATAACTCCGCCGCACCAATATGGTCGCCTGGATGCAGTGAAACGCAGACGAGGAAGCTACATATGTACATGCCTGAGCACTACACTCCTTGCTACAACGGGATGCCTCTTAATGTCTTCAAGGAGCATAATAAACTCCTCTCCAAGCAGTTTCTCCTGGTCACCTGCTTGAGGAGGAATCGTCACCTATTAGCATCGAGTGATCCTTCCTCAACCACGTCGACTATATAAGACAATACGCCGATCGTACTTTGGACGCAACTAATTTCAGACATGCACTGACCGGCATCCAAAGTCATAAATACCTTCACCGACTCTCACTGAATGGTGTTCTTAGATTCAAACCACTACCCATAACAGACGACGAGTTGGAGTTGCCGTTAGAATCGAGAGTGACCCTTGCGCAGCTTCGTTCATGATACTGTAGCAGGTTAAACTCCTACTTATCCAGAATCGACCGCGACATATCAAATATGTATATGTTCAGTGTGCAACGTTAACCACTTTTTTGCATGCCCAGCTAACCCTACTCATCTCCCACCCCTTTCTTAATGGTCCGACCTCATCGAAACAGCACGTTTTCTGGGCCTTACGTTGGCTACCCCGATAACAATTTACCTGAACCTTACCATCCTAACGGGAGCTTGATAATCGAATCTGGCACCTTTCTCTGATAACAATATGATCGTGATATAATGATTTTAGAACTTTCGGCTGACTTTATACTGCATTTAACGGTTAATACATAATGTATGTAGGCATTTCTCTACTAAAAAGTGAAGAAAGGGATATGGATATTTTCTTCCCATTCCCCGGGTCCACTCTACAACACTATTCGCAATCTGCGAGAACTTCTAACAGCTGGGATTGGCCGGCTTTAGCCTTCCCTACTTAGTTTTTTATGGAGCGTAAGTGGAAAAATATTTGAGGGTACCTTATCAGCTAAAGATAACTGTATCACCACAAAGAAACAAATCGTGAATAATTTTTATAAACAGTGCATATCTACATAAGTATGTATTTATATTTGTGCATGTATTTATTGGTCCTATCACAATTCATTTGTTTACCACGGAAGTAGCGAGTACATTTGTATCCGTGCTTAAACATATATATATGCATATGTATATATTTTGATGTAATTTTTTAATTTGATTAATGTTTTTGTTATTGTAGTCAATCAAAAATGTGCCGAACGGGGTGGCAGCGATATCGCACGCGGTTACCAGGTCGTCGGCGTCGGCGCGGCAGCGGAGAGCCCCAAATATCATTGCCATTTATGTGCAGAATGTTTTGTCAATTATGATGGCTTGCAACAGCACCGAAAATCGCACAAAGGTGTGTCATTGTAGCAAATACACGCTTCATAAATAATCTAATAACGATTGTTGTTTAACTCTTTGTTACCTTTTGTAGTGTTTTGCAAATGCACCATGTGTACGTTCAAGAGTTCGACGCGCGAGAATGTTTTGGAGCATATGGCCAAAGAGCACAAGGTACTGGTGGAGCGGCGTTTAAGCGGTGAGTTAGTGGGGTGTGGAAATGAAATAAGTTGATAGAATACGGCTACGAAAAAAAAACTTTATTTTTTTTTAATGAAATTACTCTTCCTCCTGTCTGCGCAGTTTGGTTCAGAAAAGGGGGACACTTGGTGGGACAACTTAAAAAAGGCGATTGTCGGGTATTAAAAAATAAAATAAAAACTGTGTGCCAATTCTTTTCAAATTTACAGAGTATGTGTTTACCATTTTAAAGGCTAAAAATAAAAAAATAAAAAAATAAAACTCTACCAAAAGATATTATTTGTATAATGACCTATGGTCGAAAAAAATACCAAAAAAAAAAAATTAAATTTTAGCCAATATTCTATTATATTCGCCAGGAGTAAATTGAAGAAGTCGCACGATTGGGAGTCGCCTTGTCTGCAACCTCGTTTGGTATCGAACGGTTAGGAGGGGTTCTTCCAGTTCTTTACGTAGCTTTTGATACTTCTCAACGTCAGTTTACGCAGCGGGGGTACCAAATTTAGACATCGAGGCATAAAGGCAGCTCCTTTTTGGGCTGTCAAGAGCAGGTTTGAAATCGACGAAGAGGTGGTGTGTGTCGATCCTCTTTTCACAGGTCCTTTCCAAGATTTGGCGCATGTTGAATATCTGGTCAGTTGTTGATATTGCAGGCCTAAAACGATGATAAGGTCAAATCAGTTTGTTGACAGTGGGCTTTGATTCACACAGTACGCTCGATAAAACCTTATATGCGATGTTGAGGAGGCTTATCTCTTTAAGTGGATTGCGTAGAGCATACTTAAAATCCAATCGTCGGGCATGCTTTCGTCGGAGCATATTCGCCGTTTTTGAATAGCATCAGCCCCCATCGTTTTGTTGTTGTTCAGATGGATGGTTGTTAGTCGAACTTCTTCATGGTGGGGCAATGGAACGTCAGCTCCATCGTCATCGATTGTGGATTCGGGTTCACCATATCCTCTTGTTTTGCTTTCACAGCCATTCATCAGGCTGGAGAAGTGGTCTCTACATAATTTCAATATGTTCTGGGCATCAGTTACTAGATCACCTCTGCGGGTTTTACAAAAGTATGCTCCTGTCTTGAAACTTTGTGTTAGTCGCAGCATCTTTTCTTAGAGTTTTCGAGAATTTCACCTCTTAGGTAGCTTGTCAAGCTCTTCGTACGCATTTCGGCATCTCTCTTTGTCTGCAAATGCGTCTCGCTTCACTTTTCAACTCTTGGTATCCATCCCAACCCGCACGTGTTGTGGTCGATTGTTACGTTGCGGTATATGCAGTCTGTTTTCTAACCACTGCGTCATGGCACTTCTCATCGAACCAGCTGTTCTTTTGGAGATGTTTCATCATGTATGCTGAATTCCGTTGTGCCACAGATGCCTTATGGTGGAGTAAAAAATATGCTCGTTCCTGGTTTTATCCTTTGCCTCAAATAAGCAGTGATTTTAGACTTTATCTGAAGGGTTGCTAAATTCAAAAAAAAAAAAAAAAAAATGAAAGGAACCGTAAATTTTAGGAGAGAATGTAGTAATAATTAAAAATCAGTTAAAAATATATCTTTTATTTTTTTCAGTGAAATATATACCGCTCCAACGAATCAATGCTCTACATATACAAGAGCTTACGCCCACAAAAACAGTAAGCGTCGCTACGGAATCGAACTTGATACCAAAGCACAATAAGTACCGCAAACATTTGTGCCAATTTTGTGGTTAGTACAACAACAAACCCCTTATTTCCTTCAAACCATAAAAATGTATAAAATCTTATTATTTTCTTGTAGGCAAGTGCTTCGACCGACGCTTCCATTTGCTCAAGCACGAGTATGGCGTGCATCGCATCGAAATCGAACAGACGAATAGCGACGTTGATGTCTTGATCCGCACGAAATTGCCCAGCTACGGTGTTGGTGGCAACTCTAGCAAGCACACGAAGCTCAAGTATTTGCGACAACGCAACGCAGTGCAGGCGGCACGTCAACAACGTTACATAGAAGATCTCGCGCTGCTGGACGAACAGCAGCCAGGACAGGACATTAGCAATAAATTTCAATGTGAAATATGTATGGCAGTATTTATGTTTAATTTCGAATTGAAATATCACATGCGCACACATAAGACCAGCACACACACACAGACAAGGGTGGGCAGGGACTTAGCTGATAAGCACACTGTCACGCCTCCGCCAACATTATCAACAGCTGCTGTTGCTGCAGCCGCCGCCGTTATTGTACAACCCGAGCCAAAACTAACTAGCGCAACTGTTAAGGAATGTGCGGAGATAACGGAGCAAAATCGGCAAACTGCTGACCATGGCACGGAGTGCGATGCGGAAAGTGATGACGATGTTGATGGTGATGCTGAAGGTGAAGGTGATGGTGATGGTGAAGGTGATGGTGATGGCGATGCCGATGACGAAACTTTAAAGTTCACGCCTGACATCTCGCATAATATCGACGCCACGTTGACCGGCTTGTCCGATGGCGTAGATTTGGATTTGATGGCTTTGGTGGCGCCTCAAACGTCGCCGCTGGATTCGCTGGACGCTAGCCCGGCCAGCAGTAATAATAGTTTCGATATCAACTATGATGATCAATTGTATTTGAATGATTTCGATTTGGGTCTGCTGGATTGCAGTGGCGTGTTCGCGGGATTTTAATCTCTAAAATTAATTTTAAATTGTAGTGTATTTGTTTTTGTTTTAAAAACTTTTTTTTCGCTTGGTTTGAACGAGTTTGGATTATAAAAATTAGAAAATTTATACCTACACGCATACAAACACAACCACATAGACATTAACACACACACGCACACATACATAAATTCGAGGAGAACAAAAGTCAGAGACTGAGTCAAGTGAAAAGCAATACAAAGACAATTGTTGCAATATTTTTTTTTCTGTAAATTGTACGCGCATTACGTAAATTAGATGAAGACATATGTATACTTTGATAGAGCAGTGTACATAATTTTTAAATAAAAATATAAATAGTAGTTTAAAGATCATTAGAAAAAAAGGACAATATAACAAAAATGAAAGCAAAAATAATTTATGAACGAACTGAATTCGGTAGGTGCAAGGGAAGGGACAGGGTTTATCTCGATTTCCGGCTAAACTACAACTTCTATAAAAAAATGAATAAACCTACAACTTTTGCACATAACCTCAAAATTTATATCCAAAATCAAAATAAATAATTTTCCCTCTAGCTTTTGTAATTTTTTTTTTGATTTTCTTCGTGCACATAATCTCAAAATTTATGTGAGAAATCAAAATAAATAACTTTTCCTTAATTTTTGTTATTTCTTCCAACGAGTTTCAAACTATTATGTATTTTTTTTTAGCGTTTTCTAATGTTCAAATTCTTCTGTACTGCTCTATTTCTAGTATAAAGAATATTTAAAAATCTTAGTAACCAAGTTTCAAGCACAAATATCCAAAACTAAGAAAAACTTTTACTTGTAATGCTGCGCAACCAAATTCAAGCTCTTTGTTTTTATATAAATCAAGAATATTTTCATTGCATTTACTTACAAGTGTGCACAGATTTTTTTAAACTCTTTCTTGTATTAAGGTTTTCCATATGTTAAATAAACATCACTAATTTATGCAAATTATTTTCAATTAATACTTTTGTCTGCCACTGCATACTTGCTAATCAATTTTTTAATTCCTAAATTATTTATTTATTTTTAATTTAGCATTTTATGCTGAAATTTCCTACGTTTTAAGTATTATTTTTGTTTATAAAATTAATATACATCCTTCGCTTGTATTACCATTTGTAATTTATTTCATATAAAAGCCTAAAAAATAATAATAATTTAGGTACTATTAATTTTTTTTTACAACGTACCTTTCGACGTACGTATTGCATTTCACGTATTTATGTACATGTGTATGACTTTCCATTTATTTGTTTAAGTACTTAACCCGCAATTAATAAAAAGACTAATGATGAAAACATTTCGAAAAATATAAAATTAATAAGCATTCACAACCAAAGAAATATTTGTTTTATTTATAGTGGAAAACGTTAATTGTTATTATTTAAATTTGTTATTATTAAAGTCCAAAATTCCGTTTTCCAAACTCCAACGATAGCATAAATCGGCCGATACTGTTGCAATTTTACGTTCGATATTAGTGAATCGGCGGTGGCTTGTTGGCATAGACTGTAGACTCTACAGTGTAGAGTTGACGTAGCATCACAGGAAATATTCCAACGGCGTCAAAAATCGCACTACTGAAGCGGCCACTTGACTGGGTCATTTCGTGAGACAACACGTGAACTAAACTTGGTTTTCAATAAATCGGTTGTGACATTCGCTGTGTGGCTTGTGATGCCGTTCTCGTGGAATCACATATTGCCCAAGTCCCTATCATCCAAAAATCACGGAAGAAGTACGGCTAAATGACGCCGCTGTGAACCAGAAATGAGCCTCATCGCTAAAGATGACTTTTCGATGAAAATCCGAATCATTCAAGCTGTTGTTCAGCCCTTCAGCTTAATTCACGAACATACGACGATTCTGGTGGTGAAGCGGCTTCAGTTCTTTCGTTAATTTGATCTTGCCAGGATGTAGGTCAAGATCTTTTCGCAAAATTCGTCACAATGACGTCACAAAGATGCTCACCGCTTGAGAACGGCGTGTGAGCGATTGATTTGGGTCTTTCACAATGGATACGTTAGCGGCAACAATATTATCGACACATCAGACACATCTTTGTCTAACTGGCACGGTAACATTTTGTACTGTGCCTATGGATTCAAACTTTTCCACTAGGCGCTCAATTGTTGATCTGACAGGACGATTATGGTGACCATAAATTGGACGTAGCGCTCTTAAAATTGAGGCTACTGACGCTGAAATTCGGTGCTAAATTTTAATTTCTTAAACCCAAGCAGTTTGAGATTGAAAATGCAATTTTCATTTCACAAAAATCTGAATTAAAAATTGGAATTTATTTTAAGTCCAAAATTTTTGATTAATGGAAATCGCAACCCTGCTACAACCCATGTTTCGAAATGTTTCCAAAATGTTTCTTAATGTAAATAATTTTAATTATCTCGGAATTTTCAGTAAGCTGGCTTTAGATTAAATTACTTAATAGAAAACTGAATATTTCATCTAACGGATATTTTAGCATCCTCTTTGCATACTAGATATTCCAAATAACGGGCTTTTCTCTCTACCATTTGAATTTAAATGCACTTATCGTAGACAAAAACCTCAAAAATCACTCAATTCACATTTGAAAACAAATATGCCTTCCTTTTCACTCATAATTATTATATGCAGATGTGCAACAAGTGGCTAGTAATAAAGAATATTGCCATATTTTTGCAATATATAGTTAATACAATTTATGTACATTCCTAAAACACCTTCAAGTGGCAACACCTATATTTTCTGCAACCATGATAGCAGTTTTAATAAATAAAATAAATAATTTGCTACAATAAACATACGCCAACACACGTAAAAAACAATAAACAACCAGTTGGCAGCCACTTCAAACACTTTTCACTCATTCCGCGTGAAAGAGACAACACTAGTGCGCACCTATTAATTGCTCAATGCTTGTGGTGGCCACTATTGCAAAGACGCCGCCGATAAACTAGTTTCAGTTTAGTTTTATCCATTGGACGAGTAAGTGTGTAGTGAAAAGTGAAATTCGTGCATGATTCCCGATCGGTGCGCTAGTGTGTCGTCGTCGCCATACAGTGTCGCGTTCAGTGCGTTAGTCAACGAAATTTGGGTAGAAAACAGTTGGTTAAATGTGCAAAGTATGAAATTCAAATAGAATTAAATAATTTCTTAACAAACGAAACGAGATTATTTCATATTTTACGTGTACGAAATAATAACAGTACTTTGCGAAGTGCATTCGCCGCTAGTAAATGCAACAAAACGATGATTTTTTTTTTTACTTTGTTATTGTTCTTATTACGTGAATGCGTTGCGGTTTGAAGGTGTTTGCATGCGTTAAATGCGGGTCGCCTGCTATTGTGTTTGCGTGTATTTGTGTTGAATTCGTTGATGTGTTTCTAGTTTGAGTCATACCTGCGGAAAAAGAAACAAATTCCAACGCAGCGCAAAGCAATTGTAAGCCAAGTGGCGAATGAGTGTGTGCAAATAGAATTGTAGAATTAAAAGTAAATAACTTAAATAAATGGCAATTGCAAATAAAATAAAAATAAAATAGTAGAGTGATGATGAATTAGCAAACACCGGAAGTGATAAAAGTGTTGGAAAAAGTTGACAAGCCGAACTCAGTGCCTACTAAGTGCTCATATATCGATGTATGTATATTTATGAGAGATCAAATGTAATTAGAAAGCAGCAACAAAGAAAGTCTAAAGAAATTCTTGCAACGTTCTGCGCTATTACTATTTATTTACGTTTGTTGACGTAGGTCAATAACTTATTGAGTTGTGTCGACGATATTGAAAAGCATAAATAAGTTAAGTGCGCACGAGAAAACGTGAAGAAAAACAAGAAATTAATTATTTGAGCTATTCGAACGTATAAAAAACAAAAATATCAATTCAAACAACAATAGAAGTAATAGGTACGAACAAGATAAGCATAACAGCAGCGCAATAACAACAATTGTTACCGGACATTTCTAACCAGTACTAGGCAGAGTGGTGAAAAGTGTAGTCAGCATACGAAAAGTGGCATCAGCGGCAAATACAACGAGCTGTTTACACTCACACCTTTGCACATATTACTACTTCCACTTTGTTCGCATTCTTGAATTTTTGCTGTCCGTTGCCACCGAGTCGCATACACGAACTTGGTGCGACTGTGTGCCGGCAGAAAGCAGGTTTTTCTATAGTGGAAGGCAGGAAGATATGTAAAAAGTAATTACAGCCGACACACATACATATAGATGTATTAATGTGCATTTGCACATATGTATGTGTAAATAAAAGAAGTGAGATCAAGTCGTAGATCAAAAAGGGTAACGAGTAGAGCGGTGACAGTTGCAAGAGAAAACGAATTGTGCAGGATTTTTCCAAGCAAATTAGAGTAAATGTTAAGAAAATATAAAATTAAATAATTGCTAGTGCATTTTTCTCTAATTGCAGTGCGTTTTTTGTTGGTGTAAAGACTGCAACATAATTAACCGGTAGTGTTTTACTGCAAACTTGTGCTTGCAAAGTTGTTCAACGACTTTGCAGTAGTTCTCGACAAATTTTAGTGAAATCGTGCTGCCACAATATAAAGCGCACGACTGCAACAAATTCAACGCAAAACCACTACAACACTTTTGTGCAACAGTAACATTAACAACAGCCAACCAAAAAAAAAGTATATAGAAAAAAAATACCAAGGTAAAGCATTTGCCAAAAGTTCTGACTATAGCAGCACCTACTTTTGGGCACTTCAATTCGAGTGCATAGCCAGCTGCACCTACATACGTTTGCAGGCCGGAAATGCCAGCGTGCTAAGTAACTTGTGAAAGTCGCCAACTCCTTTGTGCTATGCTTTTGAGTGCTTGGTTGCATACATATACCAAATCCTTTTACATTGTGCCGACTTTTAGTGTTTTCTGGGAATATTGAGTCAGCCCGATATTTGTACGTCCCTAGCGTTGATTCATCTTAGCTGGACAATAAATAAACGACATCTACAGAACGGAAGCTGCCGCACTTGCAACATTTTCAGTGGCATATTTTTTCACTGCTGACTTCTTTTTCCTGCGGGCAGTGGATAGCGCTTTTTAAGCTATATATCCACATAGTATTTTCTGTCCCCAACTTTTTAATGGAATAATTATGTCATGGGATCGTGTACGCGACGACACTTTATGCTGTCAACATGCTTGCTGCAAATGGTAAGTTTTCAGAAAAAATATTTATTAATGTACATACATATGTATATGTGAGCATACTTTTTGTAGGTAATTTTTAAAGAGCGTATATATGTAATTAGCAAGGAAATACCGGTTTAGGTGCTTTTAATGAGTTTTATGCAATAGGAAATATTAAGCATGATAAACTGCTTTTATATGAAAGACAAAGACGACATTGTCCAAAGTTTAGATTCGATGAGAAATAACAATTTTAATAATAATATTTTGATCAAAACTTTTTAAAGTGATATAGGAAAAAACTTTGAAATGTTTTTGCTGCACTGAAATTTAAATTAAACCCGTGGTTTCACTTGTCATAAAAGGTTATAAAAATACCGTTAACCTGTTTGTAACTCGTCAGTTTGTATGACAGCTATGTATATGCTATACAAAGTGCTCTCCAAAGTAAACAGGACTTAAAACAAAAAACCAGAACAAATGATTTTTTCGTCAAAATCAATTTATTTTATTCAAAATAGTCTCTTTCTGCTTCAATACAGCTTTTTGCACGGTCCAAAAGCATGTCGAATGAGTGTTTTAGCTCGTTGGCCGGTATGGCCGCCAGTATGCCGGTGCAAGCCTTTTGAATTGCCTCTACGTCTGCATAACGCTTTCCTTTCGTGGGCAAATGTATTTTTCCGAAAAGAAAGAAGTCGCACGGTGCCATATCAGGTGAAAACTGGGGGTGGTTAATGGTTAAAATGTAATTTTTGGTTAAATAATCGATCACAAGCACCGATCGATGAGAGCAATTTTTGGTCGTCAGTCAATTTGTGCGGAACAAACCGTGCACACAAATCTTTTCGTAAGCCCAAATGTTCGGTCAAAATGCGAAAAATCGATGTTTTGGAGATGTTCAATTCTATTTTCATGAAATTCAATGATGATTTCGGCAGAATTTTTGATGAATTCATGCACAGTTTCGATGGAGTTTCCGGTGATCACGGATTTTTATTGGTCCACATGTTTTGAACACTTTGAAACTACTCGTGTATTCTGCTACGGGATAGGCAATCATCGCCATAAACTTGTTTCATCAAATTTAATATTGCCTCTGTGTTCGTAGCCTGTTTTCGCACCGATAACACAAACATACTGACACTTAAAACGCAATAACTTCACTTCCAAACAATGAAATGTCATGAAATTCTCACGGGACAGTCGATATAGGTAGCAGATTCTAACGCACCATTCGACATATAGATGGCGGCAGGGGCGCTAGATTCAAAAAGTCCTGTTTACCATGTTTTAGTCTAGATCTAAACAGTAGATTTGGAGAAAAGTCCGTTGTCTTCGAAAATAGTCCATATCAAATTAGTTGAAGATATCTCAACACATAAACAGTTTTCCAAGATTTGAAATGTGGAACAGCTGAAAAACTGAGACTCTCATGTCACTACTTCTTCCACGTTATATTATTGTACATGTCATATACCTTTAGTACTAAGTTTGTGAGATTAAGTAGATACCAAAATGATTAATTGAGGATCAATTTTATATTTCTTATAAAAATAAGTTAGTTAAATAATTATTTCCGGTAATTCCATTTACTTGTAATAAATATATTTTTATACTTGTGCTGACGCAGGTTCGCAGGGCCAGCGCGATTTCCTTTATTCGCTTATCGAACGCGAATTATATACACCGATCTTTTTAAATACGATTTTTACGTTTTATTTGTATTTATTTTTGCAAAAGTGAGCAGTAAAAACGAATGAAAAGGAAACAAGCTGAGAGCATTAACACCTTTAATTCAATTAGTGCAAATGAAAGTGAGAAAAATAGGTCGCTAAATAAACGGGCAAACAGAAAATTGTATATGCGCCTATAAAATTTGCTGTAATCGTTTAATGCGTGGATTTTAAGACTTGTTGTAATAGTATTTTGAAGTGGGAATTTAATGCTTTTTTTCTCCTTAGTATTTGTGGCACAATTTAAGTCTTTAATGTAGCTCTTAGCTTAAATAGTAGAGATTTAACGGTAAATTGTCTTACTGTTTTTTTGTAATCAAACTGCCGAAGGGTTTCACGTAAAAAATATTTATTTCGGAAATATTTGTTAAAAGGTTTCTCATCATTTGTCTTTACTTAAAGTAAAGCTACCCAAACCGGAATAAAACCTACGTACCACAAACCCTTTAACTTCCACACACTTTAACAACATTTTCTGCACTGAATGCAAGAACCTGCTGTGGCTGCATATCCATTTTAGATAAAAAAAATTTCGTATTCAAGTGTTGAAATCTTGAATTGCATAATCACTTTAAGATCGACAACACAACTTGCGGCATTGGCGAACGCTTTCGTTGCAAAATTGCTGCCGTCAGATGAAAATGCTTAAAACCGAGATAAAACCAAAGTGGGGGAATACCGTACATACACACATACATAAATGCCATATGCAACACTAAAGGCACCCGTAGCAGCGCGGTAGCTTCCATATTGGCAGTGTATCCAGCCAGTTGCTTGCCAACAACCGCAGGAACCCATAAGCAGACATGATTTTGCAGATAAATATATATGTTTAAATACGCATGTGTATGCGGCAACTTTTACACCAATATGTAACGCTGACTTTCTATATATTGCATTATGGCTGCATGCTGCACGTGTGTGTTCGTTGCGCGTAATGCACAATTGGCAAACTGCTGCAGCGCCATAAAGACAAGAAGCCACGCTACAATTGAGACTGAGAACCAACCAACGAAAATCCCAAGGAGATTTTCCAACAATCTTACATGTGTTTGCGTGTGTCGGTTTGTTTCTGTGCTTGTTGTTGTTGTGCCATGTGGCATGTTGCGGCGGCTCCTACTTCAGTTGCTTGTTGCAATGGCTGGCGTTGGTATGGCAGTTGAAAATAATCGGTTATAAATTTTCCATAAGTAAGCTTTAAGGAGCGTCGTAAAGTGTCATGTGTAGAAATGTGCTCGTTTGTGTCCTGTAGACATTTGTTGGAGACTCAAAACTAGTTTGAAGACTCGATAATTTGTAATAATCTATTGACATGAGGCTAAAGTGTTGATAAAAAGTAGAAATATCTAAAATGTTAAGCTAATAATAGATAACAACAACAATGAGTAGACTCATGTAAAATGAAACTCTTTGCTTGACGTATTTTAGTGAAAAATATATCCATAAAACGAGTTTCTTGTCCATTGATCAAGAAATATAAATTTTTACGAGGAGCTCTGTAAAAGTCGTTACTTAATGTCTTACCGACGAATAGACTGTAAATATTGATTATTGATTGAAATAAGAGGACCTAATTTTTTGGGAAAGGATGACTGAAAGGGAGCTAGGGTTGCGAATTAGCTAACTATTCGTCTTTCAGAAATAAAAATTGACCTTTTTTTTACCTGGAATTCATTTAATGGATACTTTTTTGATCGATGCACAAATATGTTGTACATTTTTAAAATCGTCTATAGCTATGTCAACCAAACTGTATAGAGTCGTTTCTTTTTGGCATTTCCATATACAGTTCAAAAATGGAAGAAATCGGATAATAACCACGCCCACCTCCTATACAAAGGTTATCTTGAAAATCACTAAAAGTGCGTTAACCGACTAACAAAAAACGTCAGAAACACTAAATTTTACGAAAGAAATGTCAGAAGGAAGTTGCATGCAGGCTTTTTCTAAAAATTGAAAATGGGCGTGGCATCGCCCACTTATGGACCAAAAATCATATCTCAGGAAGTACTCGACGGATTTCAATGAAATTCGGTATATAATATTTCCTTAACACCCTGATGGCATGTACCAAATATGGGTGAAATCGGTTCACAACCACGCCTGAAATCTCGATTATCACCTTATCATGCGAGAGTATAAAATGTTAGGTTACACCCGAACTTAGCCCTTCCTTACTTGTTTTCTTTAAAACTTCAGATGACGCCATGATAACTTCTCAGTTTGTTGAATTACGTCGAAATGTGAGTATCGTTCACTACTATTTCCAGGTAAAAATGCATATTCTGCCACTAAAATCTGTACAAAAGCATAGTCAAGTGGTATAACTTCCAAACATGACAGAAATCCATGAAAAATATATAGTTTATTAAGAAAATTCGAGTCGATCTCGGAATGTTCGTCTCTATGTGGAACGACCACGACCGTCGGAACAGCATCTTTCTTGGCTCTCACGTTAGATGATTTCGATGAAAAGTTTAGTGTGCCTTGCGAACTAAACAAGATCTTGACAATCGTTACAATAACCATCGTAGACAAATATTACAACAAAAATAACCATTAGGTCCACCAGAACCTATTACTGTCGGATACACAATCGTGCATATACTCTGCTTGGGAGGATCATATTAGTTAGATCTATTTGGGATAACGGAGATCGGTTTCTGGATCCGTTTCTCAAGCGGACTAATATCTGAATTAAAATAAGAGCAACTAATTCACTAACTGTAAATTTTATCACCAAATATGTTTATAAATAAGTCTGATCCAATTAGAAATAATTATTCTTAATTAGAAATAATGTTTCCATTTTTGTTTAAGATTTATAATTGTGTTCGTATTTCATTTCACACGGTGCGCCCTGTGCAAATTATTTCCTTTACTTCAATTATTTTCTTTAACTATTGTACTATTGCTTTTATTTATTCTTTTCTTCTTGGGATCGCTACAATAAACAGACGTGTTTTCAATTTTAGTCCTGTGTATTAATGAACAACTTTCTTTCTCCTCATTGCCTTTCGAATTTCATCCTACTTGGCACTAGTGGTTGGTTCAGCGATTTGATAATGCGTACCAGTTTTGGTACTAAAGTGTACTGAACGCAACCAGCTTAAAAGGATTGCCACTCTCTGCCGGGTACATGCGTGTGTATCGCGTTTGGAAAATGCAAGCGGTGGCTGTGGATATTGAATTTCTTGGGCGACCTTCGGGGTTTGCGCCTCCCTGCAATTTATTGCATTTGTGAAACCAGAAAAAAATTTAATGTGMTTTAATGCATTTGTTGTTGCTCAA